CACCTAATTAGATGCAGTGAAGCTATGGAACCGCAAAGATGGAAGTGCTCCAGTTCAGAGTCCAAATATTAGGTCGGTCCATAAGTCTTGCAACAAACTGGCCGAATTTTGAATTTAATATTTTCATTATCTTTTTGTTCCATTCATCCGGCATGCTACCCTCCATCAATATCTACAACCTATTGCCAACACACTAGTAGCTGCTCGATGCCTCCCTTGTAGGACTCTACTGAATTCTGATCGAAGAAAGATCAGATGTCGATTTTGACATCATCATAGTTAGGATGAGCTTTCTTCTCTAGGAGATGGTTTGGAGAGGGGAGCAGAAGGGCATTATTTGCGAGGTCAGGGCTATAACGTGAATACGGAACTCTCTCTCCGTCCCAGAGTCTCGAAATTTTCCTGAATTTTCTTAGCAAGAGGTTTTTCAACGGTGTCATACAAAAGCAAACTTTGCCTTGTTTTTCTTTCGTATTAAAAGCGTTGCATTCGAGCTGTGGATAGTTGACTTTCGCGTTGACTGCGACATCTACACGGAGGGGTTTCCAGAGCTTAACTCCTCCCGTGTTCCACCAAAAATCCGAGAAGGCCCTACTTGGACGAGGTTGAACTTAAGCAATAAGATCTCCCGAAGCGTTTGAGCTGGACTACCGCCGCTTGTTCATTTGTTAGTAAACTGTACCCACTCCTCATCTTCGGCAAATGTGATGGATGGTCAATCGTAGAATCCCTAGTAAGTCGACTTGAACATAACGGTGTCAGATCGTGTTTGGAGCTGAATCGGGCTCAAGGCACGTGGGGACCAAACTCTACATTTTCGGATCTTCACAAGTCTTTGGAGATGCCACAGTGCTGTCTCCTTGTCGCATCGGAATCGCTCTAGCAAATGATCGATACTCTATCCAGATCCCTTTTCAACGGCGTCAGATATAGCATCGTGATTGTCAGTCACAGGGTGGTTGGAGTGTGGGTTATTTTCAAATAAAAAAGTCAACGCTGAGCAGAGTGAAGCGCCGTTTGCACTGTGGTTTGAGAGAGCTTGCCCTCGCTATCTTCTGGCCAATCCTTGGTCTAGCATGACTTGCGGAACATTCCAAGCAGTACTCGTAAAAATTAAGGGCATCGAGAGCCCTCTCGCGAAATCGGTGTAATATCCATAATAAGTAAGCAGACAACGAGCTGGACCGTTGGCTGAAATTGCAAAGGTTGATGCTACGTCAGGAAATATGTTGCGGATTTTCAGGAGTTCTCCCTAAAATTCTATAGCATTAAATGTAGTTTGTTGCAAGACTTATGGACCGACCTAATATTTAAGACCTTTCAGTTTTCACACTTTCGGTCGTTCAGATTTCAGGAAAAGAATGTAAGGAAAAACACGGACGACGTGGCTGAACTGCTAACATTTCAAAAAGCCGAGCGTTAGAAGCAGGGTGAATAACGGTCGAGGAATTCCTCGACCATGGCTCTCTACCGTGCGAGAGTAGTGTCGAGAGTGAATGAATGCGCGGAGAGCACAGACGGCGCAGGTGGCGAGTTTTTTTGCGGATGTGCTACTTCTTTTCTAATTTTTTGCGTTTATTCCACAGATGACATCACAGTGTGACCACAAACGGTGTGATTGACCGATAGGTTATATCGTCGCTTTAGCAAAGGTACCCAACTGTTACAAAGCCTTCACTTTGGTTCACTCCTCGTTTTCTTTATGTTCTCTTATACATGAATTTGGAAAAAAGAGTAGTAGAAATAAGTAAAGACCTATATGTACAGCAAGATCAAGTTTTTAGTGGAGCAACCGAGTCAAAAATAATTTTGAGGTCCACTACAGCAAAGCAACTAAAACTTGCCTTTTCATTGCCAGAAAACGTCATTCGATCGAACTTTTACAGTTGTTCCTTCCGATAAGTTTGACACATCGAATATCATTGAAAACATTTTGTCGCATCCAAGTTTTGCGTATTTACAAGCTCAAAATCCACGGATTTGATGTGAGGCGGCGGCGCCTGCAAAATCGCTCTGGTCCCACGCGGCGCAAAAACCCAAAACGCGCGTTGTCGTCAACGTGTTAAGGGACCCCTTCCCCGAGATGATTTTGTTTACCTAATGCCGTCAACTATATGGCAAGAAGTAGGTAGAAGGGACAGGCAGGCCATGCTGCATAAAGATAAGGGAGCTTCTAGACGGCCTCCAACCTCCCTAGTAGCACAAGATGCTATGTCATGAAAGAACTAAGATGGTGATGAATAGTTTGCAGCTAAGGATCCAAAGATCGACAAGAAAGACCTGTTCGTATCGATTCCTCAAAGAGTTCGCACCCTTCGCGTACGCGTGGGTTTTGAACGACGATGTCCCCCTTCAGCACTTGCAGCTCGGAATACCCTCCTCCCTTTCACTTATTTTCTTCTTTCATGAGCATTGCTAGCGTAGCAGAACAAATATGTAAGTAAACAAAACAAAATGCGAACCTGTTAACAACCGCGATTCCTTCTTGTTAATCATGAACGGAACGACTGGGTGAAAGCTGGTGACCACCACTGAAGAGAATAGGTCGTAGCGCTTCACGTAATCGACAATCTCTTCCAGGAGCTGGAGCAAGATAATCACAGTAGCGTTGAGCTAATTTTTTTACGGAGAATCTTGGAAAATTTTTGAAAAATTCATCTCTTCTGCCCAGAACGAACTTTGTCCTGTCTTGATTCTTTGACAAAAAATGATACAAGGCAATTTTTGGCAAAAGCTCGTCTAGCATGTACCTTTATTTCATACTTGATTTTAGCCTATTTACTTTGTACGCCTCCAACAAAATTCATTCCTATCATTAACGAATACATAGGCTCATTCCTACACCACCTTCCGGTTGACATCACCTTTCTGTCGGTCAGGATCGGTCGACCGTTTCCAACAGAATGCATCTTAAGCTCATTCTCTGTTATTTGCGTGCTTATCCTCCTATTTTATAAAGCGCTAACTTTGTGTGACGGTTTGCCTTTCTAAATGTCTATGTGTCCGTCACAAAAATAAAAATGAAGTGAGTGGTTGGTTGAAAGGATGGAATAAACAAGCCGATTACAGAAAACGGGAAGCTCGCAGACCTCGAGCTATCAATGTTTTTTGCTAAAAGAAGCATTGACTGTGATAATTTCTATATAAATCTGCTGCATAGCTATATTCTTATATAGAACTCCTGCTCCTAGCTATATTAAACACCTACTGAGACATCCTCGTCATTCCATCAGTGTGCAGTGGTAAGCGAGGGAAATTATTGGAGGGAGGAGGGGAGGATGGGGAATGGAGTAGAGGGAATGCCAGGATTCGCAGGGAAAGGATTTTCCAGCGGTTGCCGAGGGGATTATCTGGTTCTACACATAAACCAAACATGAAAAGTCTGAGCAACCAACAAACAAACGCCGCCTCAATTTTCGCTTTAGTAAAGCGATATGAAAAATCACAATAAAATAAATAATATGTATATAATAAATAAGTAAAAACAGATTGGCAAGTGGCAGCAACTATCGCATACGAGTACATATTAGCTGGCCAACTTGATTGTAGTAATTTCCCTTTGCTCAAAAAAGCATTTGCTGTGAAAAACATAGAAAACATGTATACAGTCCATATCCCGGAGATAGGGTGGGTGGGGCCGAAGACGTGATTGCGGACTACACAAACTTGATAGTTGTCGCAGTGATCAGCTGATTGAATTTCTTGATTTCTACTAGTATTCCGATTTTCTGAATTTTCTGCTGTATTTTCTTTATTCTCTAGCACTACATTATTCACTTCGCTTTAGAGCAGGTAAGTTCGTTTTAGTGAAAAAGTAAGCTGTTTGCATGAGATTTTGCACGATTTTTTTTTGCAAATTTCGATATTTTGCATATTCGATGAATTCCTACCCCTCGTTTTCATTTTTAATTTTTGCGTTGCATGCAGTTTTCATACCAGTATCATTAACGTGTTCTTTTCATTGTCAAGAACACTTTTTGACACTGCTATGAAGCTTGCATTCTACGAACAACGCATTTTCCATGGCCGTGCCAGTATCGTGAGGTTTGCTTTTAATTTTTAATTTTCCCTTTTTCCCTTCGACTTGTTCTTCATAACCGCATCTTTTATGTGTTTCTTTTATTGTGTGGGAACACTATTTGGTGCTGTTTTGAAGCAACCAGTCGCTTTATTTCATGTCTTTTTCCAGGCAGTGCTGCAGTCGCCGCCCTTTTGTCTGTTGCGTAAGTTTTTCTTTTTATTTTCATTTTACTTTTTTCCTTTCGACATGTTCTTCATCACAGCATCTTTTACATGTTCTCTTTGTTGTGCGTAACTGTACTTGATGCTGTTTTGAAGCGACTGTCGCTTTTTGCGTGCTTTTTTCCAGGTCGTGCTTGGTGATGCCATCGTCGGACCTTCAAAAAGCATGCATGGACAAGTAAACGCGGATTCATTATGCTTACTGTTGCTTTTCATTTTCGTTGCAGCTTTTCTGTCCCTAATTGCACTCTTTGTTGTGAACAATATTGTTTTGTGTTCTGTGTTGCACCCTTTCGTGGACCCACGAAGCTTTCGACTGACCGTTGAAATATTTCATTACCCTTTTAGTTTTGTAGAATGTAGTCTCTCAACAATAAATTGCATGGCGGCGTTCATTTCTGGGAAGAGCTCAGGGCGTCCCAAGCTTCCCTCCTAATTCACTAGCATTCCAAGCAAAATAGTCTGCAATGAAGAACAGAGGCAACACCCGTGAGCACGTTGCTCAGCAATTGATCGTGTAACGACAGACTCCTAAAACAAACCCCTTCAAATAAGGTTGACACTGAAAGCATAGCTGTAAGGGGGCCACTCACTCCTATATGTGGACGAGTTCCCCCGTTTGTATCAGCAAGTGCGATCGTCTGGCCAACTGCGAACACGTTGCTTTATTAGATATTTTAGGGAAGAAGAACAATTTTCAGTCCATCTCAATCTCAATCTCAAAAACAATCTCGACTGTACATGCTTTATGAATAAATAAATTTGATTGATATGCACTGTTTATTGTTGAAAGACTACATTCTACAAAACTAAAAGGGCAATGAAATATTTCAACGGTCAGTCGAAAGCTTCGTGGGTCCACGAAAGGGTGCATCACAGAACACAAAACAATATTGTTCACAACAAAGAGTGCAATTAGGGACAAAGCTGCAACGAAAATGAAATGCAACAGTAAGCATAATGAATCCGCATTTACTTGTCCATGCATGCTTTTTGAAGGTCCGACGATGGCATCACCAAGCACGACATGGAAAAAAAGCACGCAAAAAGCGACAGTCGCTTCAAAAC